AATTAGGGAAAGTAAGAGATGACCAATGTCTTCTTCCTAACATCTTTCTAATGTGATGTTTGTAATGACTGAGCAATTGATGCAAAAAAGGGAGGGAGAAAACGTTATTGCTACAGGATGAACCTAGAGAAAAACAGCCTCTTTTTCCCTCAGCTTGTTACGGACATGTATGTTGCACCAGGAAATAGTGCCGGTGGTTAAAGAGCTGGCTTTCCTCCTTCTGAATCCATAAAAACAAAGCCTTGGTCTCTGGTCATTAAAGATTTTGTGGCATTCTTTGTACAAGCCAAAGCGTTTGTGCTTATGTCTTGCAGTAGGTAAGGAGCTGCTGTCACTTAGACTTTAACTGCAGAATGGAAAGTGGATTTGCTTTTTCCATCCTGAGCTGCCGTGTTTCCGCCCTTCCCTGTACTGTTATTTTTGGCAAGGAAGAGAAAGAAGTGAAACGGGTACCATTATTAGTTGACACGCCTGGATTTCTGTTGGAAATAGAGGTACTAGAGAAATACAGACTCACCAGGACATCAGCCAGTGCCCTTTTCACTTGTGTCTCACCCTCTGCCATCACTTCCATGAAAACACGACCAGGGGTGTCAGAGCTGAGCTGGTGCTGGTGTCCGAGGAAGGCGAGGACGCTGTCTGCCATGCTGTAACCAGCTGCGCAGGCTTAGCCCTCAGAAGAGCTTGGGTTTGACTGTGAAGTAGTTCCAAGTGAGCCTGCAGTATGCCCTCTATTTTTTCCCTGCAGAGACCCTTCTTCTCTTTTCCTTAGGCAATGAGGATATTGCCTTGCACTCTCCAAAACTGGTCCAACAAGAGAGAAGCTGGCTGCACCAGATAATTGTCTGGTTTAGTTTAGTAATTTTCTTGGTTTAGTTTGCTAGATCATTGAGCTTGCTAAGCAGGTACATCATGGGGAACCAGACTGTTGCTGACCCTGGTCACACAATGGTACTGTTTCAAAGGGCGTTGAAGTTCACTTTGTTGATGCAGTCTTTGTCACCCAGGCCTCCAAGCTGCTGACCTTTGAAATTAAAGTGACTCATTGCAGATTGGGGCCTCAGCCTTGAGAGCATCCACCAGTGCTCTTCAAAGAGAAATAACATTGCCATAGCAGTAAATTATTCCTGGGACGCAGCCATTTTAATGGAAGAGCTGATGGACTGTACAGAGGAAAGCTTCACAGTCTGTAAATCTGAAATTTAATCCTCAATCAATGTGAGCCTCAGCTAAGTTACAGACTTAATCAAACATCCCGCTCAAAATCTCCATTTCACCATTACGCTACATAATTTGACTCACTCTCGTCATCTCACAGTGACTGTGAAAAGCTGTAGCGAGTCCCTAAAAACCTCTGGTCTTTCTAGGTTCTGCTGACTGGCAGATAGCAGTCACCTGGGAAGCTTGTCATGCAGACTCCTTGGCTAGTATTAAAACATAGAATGGATGTAAAATGGTTTGCCTGAGAGTCAGAGAAGTCAGGTTCTCCCAAGGTCTGTGTGAAAGCACGTTGGCTTTCTGCGCAGCTCTGGCCATGGGGAGCACTGCTGGTCTACACCCCAAGACCTGTGGGTGTGTGGAGGCCTGAAGGCAGCTGGTTAATTGGTGTCTGGTGTCTTCTCGCTGCTAATTGTCCTTTTGCTCCCTCTTGCCATGTGCTTTCTGTCAGCTAAGAGAAGGATATTCCTCTTTGTTTATGGGCTTGACAGAAATTCTGACCTTGGCAGGAAACACAGCGCTAGAGCTGTGGTTGGTGTAGGTGGTCCTGCTGTCTGCATTGGACCGTGCTTGGTTGCTTGTCTCCCCAAAAAAAGCTTCTTTTCAAAATGTTTGCCCCACTTCACGCTCTCTCTTCAAACTTGTCTTTGCAGGGGACATTGTGGGCCTTTACGATTCAGCTGGCCAGGGTGATCCGCTCTCCACCGGCATCATAACCCGTGTCACCTCCAAAGCAGTGACTGTTGCCTTTGAGGAATCTCGAGATGGCATGCTGAGCTTGGACCGAGAGAGCTCTTACCGCCTGCTGAAATTAGCCAACGATGTCACCTACAACAGGCTGAAAAAGTAAGGGCCACAGGGTTGCAGCTCACCTACGGTCACTCTCTGCTCAGGAGTGCAAAAGCCAGTTGAAAATTGCCAAGTTTATTCTGGAAAAGCTCTTCCGCGACAGATCTCAGATTACTTCAGTCAGCTTGGTTTCTCTCCTTTCCTATCTTATTCCTCTTACTCCTATAGCCGCTCCACTTAGGGAGGTGTCCACCTTTTGGATGTGCCTTTCTTTTTCTGCTAACTACTGAGGGAACCCATACTGAGATAACTCAATTGGATATGTTATGCTACAGTGTCACAACAGCCTAAATTCATCTACCTGCTGGCTGGTACGGTCCTGCTCTTCCCTCTTCCTCTCCCATACTCAGCTACATATTGTGGTCCCGTGTTGTATCACCTCTGGTACTCACTGGATTCTGTGCAGAGCCTTTTCCATCCCGGCAGGAGAAGCTAGTAGCTCTTTGCTGAACTGATGTGCTGAAAAGGCTCGGCACGGGGTCTGACTGTATCAAACCGGGGTAACAGTAGAAAGTGGAAGCCTGGCCAGCACAAGGGATGTGTGTGTGAGGGTTGGGGGATGCAGCAATTAGGATTAGTCTGTTGTGGAGTAACATTTTTCAGCTTTGGAAGACTTGAATCTGTGCCCACAGTCTTCTGTCACTGTGCGCAGGGATCTCTGAAGGAATTCATGATGTGCGTGTGACCTGGCTATTTTCTTCTTTGACAGAGCTTTAAATGCACTAAAGCAGTATCACAGTGGTCCAGCCTCTGATCTGATCAACGTCCTCTTCTTTTCTTCGGATCCAAGCGCATTCAGTGAAACAAGTAAGGGCACTTCTTTGTAAGACTTTATACCAGACTGATAGCAGGTGCTGGATTGATCTTTCTAGAGAAATTTTCTCACCTTTAGGGTCAGAGCCCCTGAACCTTCACAACTAAGTACACGCACCGAGACTGCTACTGGTTTTAGCGTGCCTTAGCATGTGAAGCTGGGAGTTACACAGGTGGAGAGCTCTTTTGGATGGACTGGTGAGAGCAGATGATGTTGCCGCTCTCATGCAGGTTTTAAGTAAAGAT